CGTATTTCTATGGGCTTTGTGCGCGCTGCTGTGGAACGCCTGTGGAGCCGGTGAAAACTCGAGAAAACAACACAAACTCAACTTTGAAGTAATCCTGAACAACCAAATTCATATATGTTACACACGTAGGGCTAATCTTGTTACACTGTTCAGGGCACTCTCAACAACCATCGCAAAGTACCGTTTTCTGTGAGTTTTTGGTCTTTGTTTTCACCGCGAAGGTTGCCAGGCGGTAGAAAATGCCCGGATGTCCGCCCCCGAGGATACTTGTTCTCTGGAGATTCGGTAGAAGCCCACCATAACGCCTTAAAATAAAGACATTGGTAAACTGGCTTGGCAATATTTAAAGTCCAAAATATTGTACGTGTCATTAGATGTTTTATTCAATAAATGGGCAAAAGAACCAAAGAACACAATTTTAAAGCGCCATTCAATGTTTTCTATTTCTAAAACCTGGATTTTAAAAGCAATTCAAGACAACACAAAATACACTGACAATCACGAATTATAATCGTTCACATTATGGCCACACTGAACCCAACATGTTAACATGTTTCCAATGTGCTTAGTGCATGTAGTAGAACAGTAAAACATACTTTTAAACAAATAAATTTTACAAGAAACCATACAATCTATATATGCTTGGAAAGCCCTTGACTTGTACTTTTTAGTATTAATATTTTGTGAACATTGTGTTTGTTTTAGTGTCGCGTGATTCTGAAAATCAGCTGGGCTGATAATTAACTAACGTGAATAACGTGAATTTTAAATGTCATCTCTACAGTTATTCATGCGATCAAAAACTTTACACTGTTTTGAAGCAAAGTTCATGAGGTTTAAATCCGTATTTCTATTTTTTACATTAAGTTTTTTTTCTTTTCTGAAAATAACAAATTTCTAGCACATTTTTTGGTGTTAAAGTTAAAGTGTATACCGGTGGTTTGAGCAAGGTTTGTGAAAAAGCGCAATAGAGTTTCGCAAAAATGTAAATACGGATACGAAGCCAACATATTCGAGAATAAGAAAAGCCAAACGGCGATATCATAACGCCACTCACAGAAACGCAATTTAAAGCGAGGTGGTCGTCGCGCAGCTTGTGTTCGAATTTCATGTAAATAAGCAATGTATTTTACACGCGTTGTATACGTCGCTGTGAGTCCCATATCGAACGGGACGCGGCGCGGCGACCACCGCCCTTTAAAATTAGGTCAATGGCATTTGCCAGAAACAGAAACACCAAGAAATTCAAATTTCAAGGATACATCATGGGAATGTCGAAATCCAAAAAGTTTAGAACAGATTTTGCGAACTATAGCATAGTATAGAATAGTATGCGACAGTGACTTGCTATTATCACTCTTAGTTGATTTAGTTGATCGGCATTTCGCAAAGGCAATGCAGCATTTGGTTGAACAAAAACCATTAGACCGGAGGGAATGTCTAGTGAAATATATAAAGTATTAAAAAACATCGTTGTACTTTTTTAAAGATGCTGAAAATGTAGGTGTTATAGGTACGTTGAGAATGATATATCGTGTGTACTTTCAAACAAGTTATTTGATTACACCGACTCAGTAGAACGGCTATATTATTTCCGAAATTGTGTCCTCGTTCATCGATCTGTTTTTTCTACCCAAACATGGCAGACGATATACATATGTGTCTGATTCTATTGCATGCTTATATGATATTTATTATGAGTCTTCGTGCACATGGACGGCAAATATGGAGTCGAAAATCAGTTATGTTTTCAGGTCGATGAATTATTGCAAGAAGAAACCAGTTGCAGGATATAAATATGCGTCAACCAACAACGTTTTGTGTTCATTTCATTCGTTACTTCAGCATCCGACCACAGTCTCTGTGATGCAACCATATCTTTCTTGACAAAAGTACTGGAGTCTATTTTCGGCTTCGAAGCGGAAAAACGGACGGAGGAAGCTTGGGTACACCTCAGACAACTCATTTATTACCGAGATTTACATGTTATAAATTTGTAATCGCCAGAATGTGCTTAGTTTATAACGTAGACAACTCTATCGTATAACATAGGATGTGTACTAGTATTTGTTTCATTGTCCGGTACGCAATATGAGGCGGCCCACGTTATCTCAGTTTAGAAGCTTTTCCTGTCCAATGTTTGAACTATGACCTGATAAAGTTTGCAATTTGGGGTTAATTTTTGCCCATGGGGCACTGGCAACCATTCACAAAGAACGCTGTAAGTGTAATGGCGCCATAAACTGAAGTTTATTGCTCGTTTTTTTTCACAGTAGGGCCAGACTTTTTTATTCCTTGTTTCGCGAGTTTTTATAAAGCAATTTTTTTGAGGAGGGCGGAAAAAAATAAAATTTATTCTTTTTTTCCATTAGATTTGTGTGATTCTCAAGGAATTGTAAGTGAGATCATTGATCGGAGAGAAGAAATGAAATAAAAATTATTCCATGTATAACCCGGCCTTGTTTCTCATCTGCGCTAGACTTCGGTACTTTGATCATGATACTCCCACGAAAATGCAACTTGGATTTGCTATGCGGCGGGCGGTAAAAAAATGAAGATTTTTTTGCGCTTACAAGTCGGCGGGCGCCGGAAATTACGCTGAAATAAAATTATATTTTTATTTCATTTTCGGCTCCTGTTCATTCGGCGGGTTCGCGAAACAAGGGATAATAAAAGTCTGGCCTAGGCAGGCGCACAATGTGTGTCAAATTTTAGGTCAGTTTAGATTATTATGTTGGTCTACATACGTTGTCAAATTCGATATATACTAATTGTTTCTGAAAAGGAGCTGACATATTAGCTATATATTTCAACAAGTTTATACTAGTATATATGTATATTATTATGACATTTCACATAGCCCAGAAATGTAAACTATTAATGCTCGAATGAAACAAGTACACAAAAGACAGAAATGCTTCATTGTGCGCATTATCTATACTGACGTGGTTGGCTACAGTTATTGTGCCGTACGTTGTCGACGGATTCACCGTAACTCGGAAGTAATTTTGCTGTAGGTGAACTCGTACAAGCTATGTCCGACTCCCATGAAGTATACCAGTAAAATAACTTCGAATGCATATGGTCAGCCAAGTGATGACTATGATGTCACCGGTAACAACTACAGAGATCATTTTACTAGGCAATTTAGATTTAAATTTATTTCTTTTTTCATGTAGCCAAATATACTTTTTGAATGCCACTTTGATTTGAGAGAATATTAGCGTTTTCAAGTCACATTCATGTTGAAGAATAAAGAAAAATGGTCTGATTAGAGTTCAACCGAAAATACTGAGAATTGTTTAATAGGAAGACACAATTGTGTAATCCACTTACATATGCATTAGCTATACAAGTAAATTCTTCATGATCGGCGATTACACCAACTCTTCCATTTGCAATATGCAAATTAAAAGTACATCAGCGCAAATGAAAGAAGTGTGCGATTAGAGACACGTGTCAAATAAAGGTCATCTTTGTCATATAAACACGCTGTCATTCTCTTTCCCAGAGTTCTTTGCGGTTTGAACATCGAAAGTATTGTATATAGGGCATAGGGCATAGGGTAGACTGG